TCCTGCTGAGTGAATACATTGAATTTTTGCATCCTGGACTCCGAAAGTTAATTGGAAGGCCCATCCGTGCCATGTTGCCCACAATCGGTCTAATGTGGAAATCCGTACGTAACCCTGGAGGGAGGGGTTACCACTGGGCAATCTTAGGACCAGCCATGCCTTCCTTCCGGAGTGGGAGGCTCGGCCTTTGCCCCCGCTGTGAGCCCTGCTAGGATCCCAATGTGTTTGGGGGCGGGGGGGCTGGGAGATGGATGCCGCTGAAGCAGGCACTTGGCACCAGGAAGGGCGAACGGTTTTGGTTCTGGGGCCAGTTTCATGGACAGGGGGTGGGCTGGGCGTGGAGGGTAGCTGCAGGCAGGAGCTGAGGGTCCTCACAATGTCAGGGCCACTGCACTAGGGTCCAGGCAATAGCACGTGACCTCGAGGTATGGCGGGCCCGGGCCACAGACCGGCCTTGGCATAGCGGGGGCGCAGTGGCTGCAGGGCTACCTGGTCTATTCTGAGGCTGTGGAGCCCGGGGTGCAGGTTTGGGAGCACAGGGTGAGGGCATCTGCGGCAGAGGCCTCAGTGCTTTTACAGCGGGTGTGGCATCGGGCTCCCGGGGACTCCGTGGGCTGTACCAACATCATCTCAGGGCAGAGTTGGAAGAAGGCAGCAGACACTGCTTCCTGCAGAGAGGACTTCTTAGGGGAGAGGATTTCTTTGTGAACATTTGGGAACCTAGATCCCCCCTTGCGCGAAGCTTGAGTTGGTTTCAGGGGCTGAAAGTCTTGCATTTGAAGGTAGGACCAGAGCCAGTGAAAGAATACGGAACTTTACTGGTGTGGCCTCACTGTGCTCAGCTAGGATGGGTAGGTCCATGGCCCGAGAAATAGAGCCTGAGATGGGATCTCTGGGTCAAGAAGCTTGCCAGGTGGGTGCTCTCAGAAGGGGGTGAGGTAAGCAGGGCAGGGTAGATAAGCAGCTAAGCAAGGATGGAGACCTGCTGCATCACGATCCGCCGGGAGCTCTGGAGCATGAGTGGTACCAAGGAGCCGGCTGCTCCGTTATTCGGTCACTAGCTGAGGGTAGCTCTGGGGAACGGGGCATCCCCTCCTGGTCCAGGGCAATGACTGGGACAAAGGGGGCCGCTGAGAACTGTGAGTGGCCTCCACTCAGGAGCTGGGAGATGGGTGCTGGCCCATAAAGCGATCTGGGGGAGGCACCAACAGCATCCACTGTAGTTAGCATCGTGGACTCCACGGCTCTGAAATCAGCCTTCTTGTACCTTCCACTGACCATTGGCTCTGTTTCCACTCTCTGGGGCCACAGGACGCACCTGCTTGGCCACCTCCTGCTATATGTAGGCAGAGTATTCAGACTCTGCTTGGGTGCCTCTGACTGTCCCTTGCAGCCGAGAGAGAGGCCAGCCTCGGCATGTGGATGTGTCCAAAGGCATCCCGAGCTCCTGGTGCAGCGATGGGCGGCGGGGCAGGTAGGAGTGTCTGCCTCGAGAGCAAGAACCCGATAACCTTGCACTTGTTATCTGGGGCTGTCTGCATGGATCCCAATGATGCTGTTTTCCCCAATGTAGAAGCAAGAGTCGAATATTAAACTAAGTCATCAGTGTGTTACTGACAAGCTCCACATAGGAAAGGAAATCGTGACCACGTGAAATATTTATGCTTCACATCGCGATGATGCTACTGACATGACAGCGTGTTGTTTTTGTTTGGCTGGTTTTTCTTTTTTTCTTTTTCCAAAGTGGATTACAAAGTGCCCCCCAGTGAGGAAACTGCCCACAGAGAAATTGCGCCTCATCCCGGGAGCTGTTATCTGGGCGAAGCGGGGCTACATGATTGGAGAACGAGGGGCCAGGCCCGTGGAGCCTCCTCTGTCTGGGTCATGGGCCTGGTTTGGGGTGCCAGCACCTGTCCCCCTCCTCAAAATAGCTGTGTCACGGGGCGCAAAAGCTGCAGTCTCCCCAAAGCTCCACTACACCAGCGATTGTGATTTTTCCAGATACAATTAAAGTAGTCACGTAATTATTACTTTTTTGGGGGAGTATCACCCCTAAAATCTGTCAGGAAACCTGGCTAAGAGACCCTCCTTGTCTGGGATGCTGGCTACACTCGGGCTTGGAGGAGCCCCTCTGCCCACCCTGGGCTCCTGCTGCCCTGAACCCACCTCTCACCTCCACCAGACTGGAATCTTCCAGAGGTCAGAGGCCCCATCAGTGGCGAGGGAGTGGTCAGTAGGGACTCACTGCAGTCACCTGCCCGTGAGGGCCCTTGCGTGGCCAGCACTCTATGCCAGAGCGCCTGGAATCATCATGAGAACCCTTCGTGTTCACACCATCGTTATCCCACTTCTACAGATGGGAAGACTGAGGCCAGCAGGGCTCTGTCACTCACAGAGACCCTTGTGGGGTGGGGAAAGGGCATGTGGGACTCTGCCCTCAATCTGACTGACACCAGGGGCTCTGTCCTGGTGAAGCCACCACCAAAGTCCACTCCAGAAGGCCTGGCCCAGCCGTGGCTTACCAAGCGTAAAGGAGAGACAGGCTTGTTGCCAACTTTTCAGAAGTTTTATTATAAAGAAATTCGAGAGAAGCACTGTGCACCAAGGCAGACACTTGCAGGGTCAGAAAACGGCTGCAAACTTTAAGAACCCAAACCCAAACCAAAGCCCCCAAAGCACGCGCACTTTATGATAAGCTGCAGTTTGTTCTCCGTTGTTCCTTATAAATAGACAGAAGTCGTTGTTGGTGATTTTAAATAAACGTATGATTAAAAAAAAAAAAAGCGTAACGTCTCTGAGTGTGGCTATAAATCGTCCGGTTCCTGCTGTACAGACGATCAAACGGTTTGGCCGCTTCTTTCGTGCACATCTCCCTTAAGATAACACTTAAAAAAATGTGCTAAGGGTCATAGAAAATGCTTTTTACCTTAAAGGAATCTACTTTCTCCCCACCCCTCCCCACCCCGCAACAAAATAATCTTACAGGTGTCTTCAGCACAGTTTCTAAAACACTTAGTCAACTAGTACTTACACGGAGCCAACAGTTTGTTTCATAATGTCTTGTTCGCACTGTAAAACCGTATTTGCACATCTGGGGCTGAGCTGGCCCCTGCCCTATGCATCTGGGGGCGGGTTTCTGCTGCAGAGTGATCCGTCCAGGGGCGGCTCACGCGACTTTGGGCTGGGGCCAGACATCCCGACATGGGGTACGGTGGCAGGGAGAGGAGCAGGGTCCACAGTAACCCTGGAGCAAGCAGGTCAGGGGGTGGAAGGTTCCTGCAGGTTCTTTGGGCTGGCGGCGGGCGGTGCGCTGCCTCTGCAGAGTCTGGTGGGAGGTTGAGGAAGAGACTCAGCCCGGGGCCGTGGTCGTGTCACTGCTCTCTCTTCTCCGGCACCCCGCGTCCTGCCAAGGCCTCTTTTCTGCTGTCAGCCCTTCAGGCTCTGAGCAGTGCCCTTCCAGCAAGCCTCAGGGAGGGGAGGGAGGCGGGCTTAGGTGAGGTAGAGCGATTTATCCCTGGGGAGGAGGCTGGGGGAGAAAGGAGAGGCTGTCAGAGTGGATGAGACGCCTCCACCCTGCCCCAGGCGCCCCCCCTGGCCCTCAAGGGCCTGGACACAAGGCCCGGGGCACATCAGGACATCTGCTCCCTGGCCCTTCACACCCTCCCTGGATTCGGCTGCCCCTCTGAGGATGAATGAGGGTCTGTCCTGGCCCCTCCCGGAATCCTGGCAGGGGACCACGTGGTCCTCAGCGGATACAAAAAGCTCAAACCTCAAAATGAGACCAAGTCTGTGCTGTGATTGGTGCCCAGAACTCCCATGGGATCAGGCTGAAGCCAGTCTCCAGATGAAGCCACGCCCTCGCTAAGCTCCCTCCCTGCCCTGGCCTGCTTCCCTCCCCCACCCCGTCTCCTGCAGGTTCTCCCTGAACATGTGTACATCATCGAGGACACCCAAATCCCTGCCTCAAGCTCTGCTTCTGAGGAAGCTGACTGAAGACAGATGGCTTAGCTATGAATGCCATGTCAAGCATGTGAAAAAAAACAGGATGGAAGGAAAACCAGTAAGAGTGAAGACAGGCCTTAGTTTCCCCTGCGGGCCTGGCAGCAGACCAGCTGAGTCCCTCTGGGGCCTTGCTTTGGTCCTCTCCTGAAGACAACGGGCACCCAGTGCCCAAGAGGACCTCCTGCAGGGCTGACAGTGACCTGCGGTGTCCCCCTTGTCTTTTCCCACCCTGTCACCCCGTCCTCACGCTCCAAGTGTAGGCAGGACAAGGGCAGCACCAAGGGCGGGCGAGTGGGGTGAGGGCTGACCTGCAGGTGCTGATGCCACACTCCCCGCTGGGGTAACTGCTGTCCCAGTCTCCGCTGCTCGTGGGGTTGGATGGGCCAGGGGAGCGGGATCCGGAACCACTGGGGAACTCAGAGACGTGAGGGAAGTCCTGCCGAGGTGGGGAGGAGGCGGTGAGCAAAGGAGAGAGAATGGGGTGCATCTCAGGCAGCAAGAGGGGATGGGGGCTTGTTCGCAGAGACACTTCCCCGGCTTATAAGAAATCTCCGCTCTGCCTCTCTGCCTGGAACGCTTCTTTCTTTTCCCTAGTAGAGCACGTTCTGGAAAATTCAACCCTTGTCTTAGCTACATAGGGGGGAGGGGGTGACGGACTATCTTTTCCTGGACCTCAGTTTCCCACTCTGTAAAATGGATTTCTTGGGCTGAGTGACTTCCCAGGGCCAAGCAAGCCTTGCAATTACCAGTGTCTGTGGAGCAATTAGGGGGATCTGGCTTCAAAGGCTTTGGGGAGAGCCAGGAGCTAGGGTTGATCTAGCAGAAGCCACAGTGGTCTCAACCCCTCTGGCCAGAGAGCAGAAATGGACAGAGGCTGAGGGAGGAGGGCCTGAGATACCCTAAGAATCTGAAGAATCTGTCTGGCTACTTGCCAACTGTTCTCTGTAGCCAGAGCATCTCAGGCAAGGTGTACTCGCCCCATTTCACAGTTGCAGTAACTGAGGCTCAGAGAGGTAAGGTGCTAAGGCTGAGGTCACACAGCCGGTGAGTGGCAGGGCCAGTATTTGGAATCCCAAGCTGCCTCCCCTTTCTGCAAGGGTTCCCCGAGGGGCACGTTCTCACTGGACCCTGCTTACCTGTGGCCCTGGAGGTGAGGGGCTCACGGCCAACTGCACCTGGAGTGCCATGGGAGTGGGCAGGATGGGAGGCTGGGGGGCTGGGGACATGCTGACAGGTGGGCTGAGGAGGGTGCCCTGGGTGTGGGGCGGCAGTGGCAGTTGCTGGTGCAGGGGGGTGCTGAGAGGGAAGGAGGGGGGCGGTGGTGGGGATGCGTTGAGGCCCGGCAGCAGCGACTTGGAGCCCAGCGTCCGGGCAAGGCTGGCGGGGGAGGCCCCGCTGCGGAAGGCCTGCAGGTCAGATGGCGTCAGGAAGGAGGCCAGGCCTGGCATGGCGTACATGGGCTGCTTGGGTGGGAGCATTTTGGCCGGTGGGTTCGCCTGAGGGTTCTTGGTCTCACCCTGGTCGGGGGAGCTCTGGAAGGAGACAGACACCAATCACTCTGGAGAAGGCGCATAAGCCAGAACTTGGGCCACGAGATCGTGTGGTTTTGTCACCCACTGGCGTGGCTCCTGGATGGCTCTCAGGCCCCTGGGGAAAGAGCTGGGGACTCACCAGAGATAATTCAGGGTCGAGCCCACTTGGCTCTGACCATCCAACCACCCCTGCTTTAATCCCTGGGGGCTCCCCTGCCCACGGGAGAACCCATGCTTCTCAGCCTGGCCCGAGGGGCCAGCGTCGTCCAGCTGGGCTGTCCTCTACTTAGGCTTTTCCCCAGCCTCTGTGCCTTAGTGTGGGCCGTTCCCTTGATTTGGGACACCCTCTTTGCTTGGCCCTTTATGGCCTAACCCAGAAGCCATGTCCTCTGTAGCAGCTTCCAGACCACCCGCTGCCCCCCGTGGACCACACAACCAGTGCCAACGCTGAGCCTCCCGCAGTGCTGGTGCTGAGGAATGAGGCAGAGAGCGCAGGGTGGGAGGAAAGGCCACATCTGAAGACTGGCAAGACTGGGTCTCAATCCTGGTACAGCCACCTAACAAGCTGGCTACTCGCAGGCAGGTCGCTTAACTCTGCTGTGTAACAGGTTCTTCTTGGAAGAATTAAATGAGATGCATGTACACCATGCATGTAAAGCATGAGCTTGGCACAGAGGCGGTGCACTGGAGAAGGGACCACGTTAGTCTTATCCATCCCTTCCAAGACCTGTGGTGTTGACCATTCCCGCCTTGGTTCTTGCTCTGTCCCTCAAAGCTGGGCCTAGGGATTCCAGGTGTTACCTTGGAGACAAGGCTGGCCCTGTAGGCTGCCAGAGCCTTCAGATATTCCTTCTTCGCTGCTTCGGTCTTCCTCTTGTAGGCCTGAAAGATCCAAGATGTGGGCAATATCGAGGAGAGATCAGGTGGTCAGCCTGAGCTCACAGGGCTGGTAACTGGCATTTACCTCGGAGCTAGCTCTGCTCCTATTCTCCCTGCAGGCCCCTGAGAGGAGGCCACGGGCCTCTGATCAGCGGATAAGAAAGCTCTGGCTTGGACCCCAGACTTTTAGAGTTGGAGGCCAAGATGAAGGGAGATGCCTGTTCTCATTTAACAGATGAGGAAGCAGAGGTCCAGTTTTTTTTCTCCACTTAACCCAGTCGCTAGTGAACGCAGCTACAAACAGCCAGATCAGAAGGGTCCTACCTCCCCAGCTTACAGATGGGCAGATTGAGCCTAGCAGAGACCGCTGCAAGAGTCTCTAGTTCCAGAGGCTGGGCCTGGTTCCAGACTGACCTCAGAGGCTTGAGGGATGGCCCAGAAAGGGATGGAGGCTCACCTGCTTCTGCTCCTCTCCCAAGCTGTCCCACATGGAGGCCACGATTTTGGACACATCCCCGAAGGTGGCACTGGGGTTCTGTCCCTTGATGGCGGCCTGAGTGTCTCTGAAGAAAAGCGCGTAGGCCGACACGGGCTTCTGTGGCTCATTGGGGTCCTTCTTTTTTTTCTTCTTTGGGTTCTTGGCCTTTCTGCCGGGGTCGGCGGAGGGTCTCTTTTCTCCCGACATCTGCCCGGGTGAGAGGAGTCAGAAATCAGAGAAGCCCGGGACCTCCTGCCAAAGGGGACCCGACCCAGCCTCAGGCAGAGCTGCACTTTCCTCAGCTTTTCCCTGCTTGCCCAGCCCTGCTTATACACAGGCAGCACCTGGGGGCTGGCCACGCTACCCCCGGGCTTGAACACACACACACACACACACACACACACACACACACACACACACACACACACACACATGCGTGCACACATGTCCTCGGTATGAGCTCTGGGTTTTTCTGTTTTCTTTCTTTTTCTTTTTCTTTTTTTTAAAATCTAGTACTGCATTTTTCGTTTAACTCATCAGTGAGAATCAGCATGACGGTAAAGTTGATTCAAAGAAATACAAGAGAAAGAAACTGGGTAATGCCCTGGAGAGCAATAAAGCTATCACCTCTGGGGCTTCTAGTCTTTTGTACTGGACAGAAGTCATTTGTGTCTCTACAGGGGAAAATTCATTTGCCTTGTAATCAGACAAAAATCGTTTACATCTTCATCGCTTTCCCCCCAAGTTAACATCTTCCTTTACAGAGTGTAAAACCCCCTAATCAATAATGAAGGAGGAATCAAAACAAAGGCACAATCTCCCAGAGAATCAGATAATTTTTGAGAGTCTGTTAGACGATGCTGTAATATGCCATTGAAAGAATGTGCAGTTATCCATTTTTGGACTATTTCCAAGTTTTGGATAGACATATTTTTCTTAACAGCTCTCCCCTCCTGTGATCACAAATAATCCCCAAAGATTATCCTTGATTACATAAGATCAGTCTCTTCCACCACATTTCAGCTGTGTGATTTGGGTCCAGTGGCTTAGTCCCCCTGACCCCCTTTGAAGTTGTTGGATGGAGTGAGGTTAATGGAACTGTCGCCAGGTGTGGCCTCACCCTGGACACCTGGCCTCTGATGCAGTCAGACGCCAGGACCACCATACTGTGAGCACCTCACTTAGGGCTTCCAGGATGCGGAGCGGGTGGGAATATCCGCCCCCCGCCCCCAGGCCAAGACTCCCAGGCCACCCAGGAACCAGGGATTTTGGTCAAAGGCCCTGGATCCTGCTGTAGAGACCATGGCTCTATGCACCAAGGAAATGAAGGTGACACCATGAACTGATAAGGAAACTGTGGGCCAGTGGATAAGCCTCAGGCCTGCACATCTGAGGGATGGTGAGGGGCAGTCTGTAGCCACATTGGTTCTGTTCCTGAGTGTTTCTCTGCAGCCACTCACCTCCCCAAGCCTTAGTTCTGTCAGCACCGTGGCAAGGTTCTGACAGGACAGGAGATGCGGATGGATGCACCTTGTAATTGATGGAGAGCTGAGTAGATGAGGCACTGCAGGTGGTTAAGAGCACATATGCTGGAGCCAGATTGCAACCACCTTGGTTTAAATCCTGGTTCTATGACACTTGACAAGTTACTTAACCTCTCTGTGCCTTAGTTTCCCCATCTGCCAATCGAAGATGATAAAGGCACCTACCACATAGGGTTGCGATGAAGATTACGTGGATTAATTCCTGTCGTGTCCTTAGAATAGTGTCTGGCCCATGAAAGTGTTTTAGAAGGGTTTGTTAAATAAAAAGAAAATAAAATTAAAACCACCCCCGCCTGGACTACAATAGAGACCAAGTTATCCTGAGGACATAGCTGGACCAGGATCCAGAGGTGCCCACCCCAGCCTGGAGGTCAGGGTGCCTGCAGGATGGCATGGGTGCCAGGGTTACTGCACCAGGCCTCTGCAGGGCCGCCACGTGGAAAGGGGTGAGAGGCCCTTATGAAGAAGAAAGGGAGGGAGGCGCTGTGGAATCAAGCCTTGATTCTGCCGGCGACTCATTGGGAGATTCCGGGCAAGCACATCCACCCCTGGCCTTTCGGGGCCTCTGTTTTCGTAAAAACAAGATGCTCTTCGACAGGGAGGGAGATCTAGAGTCAGTGCAAAGAAAGGAGGGGAGCCTGGACACATGGTGAGTTCTCATCCCTGACGTGTTCTTGAAGAGGCAGGACCACCCCTGGTTCCAGGGATACAGGGTGGGCCATGCCCCCAAGGGGGGGAGTCATTTTTAGTGCTCCATCCTGCAGCGCTGCCCAGAGCACTGCTGGACGACCCATCTTTGTGGTCCTCCAAAGTGGGCCAAAAAGGCCAAAGTGGTCATAAGACATGGCCCTGAGGATCTTGCCAATGCCATCAATGCCACTGAAATGACCCATTGGCTATTCAGGAATAAGACGACATCACGTTCATCCAAATTTTCCTCCTTTTTTTTTTTGCCAGCAAAGGGTATAGTTATACTCTTCTAGTCTTTTCTAGAGGTAGGTGATGACCATTTCCATGCAGGGCCTGTCCCCTTGCTGACAGGAGGGCATCCTAAGCCTTTGCATCTCCATCCCTACGTACCTTGAAATGCGATTCCGACTCCTCCTCCTGAGTTGAACTGGAGGGAGAGGGGGTCGCCGACTTGCTCCCTGGGGGTGATGGGGAGCTGTGGGCGATGCCACTCCGGACGCCCATCTGAGAAATGAGCTGGGACTGGCTGAGGGCGCTCATGTGGCTGGCCAGCATCGCCGGGCGGCCCAGCAGGGGCCCTGGTCGGCCCGAGTCGTAGGCAGCAACCTCTGAGTGGACCATCTCCTGGATCTGAGAGAAGAGGAGATTGCATGTTGAGTTAGAAAGGACCAGCACATCTGCATGTGTATGTACCAGACTCAGAGGAGGGGGTCCCCTCTGTGCTGTGGCTTCCCCATGGGTCGCCCACAGGTGAGTGTCCATTCTATTGTGACCCCTGCACAATTAGATGCACCTCTGGGGGGTGCCATTCTGTTGATATTCACCCTGGACAGAGAGTCAGCATCTCAGCCCTTGCTAGAGAGCCCAGTCCAGCTGTGAAGAGATCACTTTATGATACTGGGTTTTCCTTCCTGGAACACGGTGTATCTTTGCATTTATTCACTATGCAGCGTGATAGCAAAGAGCATAGATGTTGGAAGCCGAGGGCATTTTGAATCCTGGTTCTGCTACTTATACACTGGGTGACTTTGGCCAAGTTACTTAACCTCTTTGTGCCTCAGTTTCTTCATCTGAAAGATTTGGATAATGATTAAACTTACCTTCTAGGGTTGTTAAGCATTAAATCTGCCTGGCACATAGTAAGGCCTATCTTGTACGAGGGTTTGTTAAATACATAGAATAAATAAATCCCTTAATAAAGTTTGCACATTTTTCCCCCACAGGTCAGTCGTTTTCTTATTATCTATTCCCCATGATATTTTCTAACTGGTTATTTTTAGAATATAAAGAAAGCTACTAATTTTTATATACAGGCATTTCTCACACTAAACACATTTAGAATAGTGTACACTTTTTGCCTAAAAATTACATACACACACACACTGTTCAGTGAGGCATGCCAATTTGCATAGTCTTACAATTATTTTTATTTCCTCTGAATTTGTGGTTAAATTCTAATTTACTTATTCACTCATTCATTCATCCATCCATCCATTTATTGATTGATTGATTGATTGCGGTACGCGGGCCTCTCACTGTTGTGGCCTCTCCCGCTGTGGAGCACAGGCTCCGGACGCGCAGGCTCAGCGGCCACGGCTCACGGGCCCAGCCGCTCCGCGGCACGTGGGATCTTCCCGGACCGGGGCACGAACCCGTGTTCCCGAAAGAGGATGGAAGCTATGGGGAACTGAAGATAGTTGGGAAATTCATTTTTACTGATACGGATGCATCACTGATTTATATTTGTGGTTTCTTGAATCATGGAACACCTCCTTGCAAAACATAAAGTTTTCATTAAGCCCAGTTTAGGAAATTCTGCCTTATATAGAGTATGAGGGAAATGCTCTAAGAACAAAATTCCCCTTTTCAGAAAGTTTAAATATATTTAATTAAGGGGGGGCGGTGGAGTGAGTATTCCTTATGAAAACAAATAGGTAAATATTAGTTTTTAATCTCTGAAGTTAAATTCCTGGATATTTGCTTTTAGTTTCTCTTCCAGGCTTCCCTTGTCAATTTGTCACTTTCATAATTAAATATGGGTAAAACTTAGACATCTATTAACAAAATATGTATTCAGCATTTATAATATTCAAACAAATACGCTAAGAGCCCTGCCAAGTGTGTAGAGATGAACACGGCACGTTCTAGATGCTCAAAGAGAATCTGAAAATGCTGTAGAAATGAAATATTCTCAAAAGCAACTCTGATACTACATAGAATGTGGCTACAAGACAGGAATCCAAGAAGATCAAAGGGGGAGGTTCATTTCTGGATGACATAAGCTGGGAAAGTTTCATAAATGACATGCAATTTAAACTGATGTTAAAAGTTGTTTTCAAACTATTTTATCCTGAACCTTCAGTGAGAAATACATTTCATATCATAATGTAGCACACATAGTCATATATCTATCTGAAATTAAAATTTCACAGGGATATTTTCTCTTATTGTGGGTCAGTATACTCTGTTATGTCCTGTTCGCCTCTATTCTACTGTTCTCCACTTATTTTCGTTTAGCCAAAAATCATGATTGGAACCCATGAAGTTTATTTCACAACCCCACTGTTGTCAACAATTTGATAAACACTGCCTTAATAGATAGAAGGGGTGGGGATACTTTGCATGATTCATATCAATTGATATTTTCAGAAATCCTATGCTGGGTACCATTATCATCCCTAATGAGGAAACTGGGATTTAGAGAGATTAAGTAACATGTTGGAGATCATGCAGCTCCACACACACTGTTCAGTGAGGCATGCCAATTTGCATAGTCTTACAATTATTTTTATTTCCTCTGAATTTGTGGTTAAATTCTAATTTACTTATTCACTCATTCATTCATCCATCCATCCATTTATTGATTGATTGATTGATTGCGGTACGCGGGCCTCTCACTGTTGTGGCCTCTCCCGCTGTGGAGCACAGGCTCCGGACGCGCAGGCTCAGCGGCCACGGCTCACGGGCCCAGCCGCTCCGCGGCACGTGGGATCTTCCCGGACCGGGGCACGAACCCGTGTTCCCTGCATCGGCAGGCGGACTCTCAACCACTGCGCCACCACGGAAGCCCTAAATTCTAATTTTTAATATCCAGTATCTGTGTTTTCCTTTACTTGTTCTTCGTTAGGGAGCCTCATCGGTTTTCTATTTTATTTTGTGGGATTTTTTTTTTCCTCCTCAAAAGAATCAAATTTCAAATTTGTTTATCAGGTCCACTCCTCCGTTTTCTAATCCTTTAATATCTAATTTTACCTTTATTAATCTCTTCCTCTGATTTTTACATATTTATTAGTGTTGCTTCCCCCTCAATTTTGGGTCGCATTTTCAATTCAGTATTTTCATTCTCAATGTTTAGAAGTAGGTTTCATGCTATAAATTTTCCTCTGAACGTGACCTTAACGTTTCTCAGACTTCATCATGTGAGATTTTCATTATTGTTCTTTTTGATGTATTTATTTTTAAATTTCAGTTTTAATTTCCTCTCATCCAATCGATGTTTAAGAAGAGTTCTGAAATTTCTTTTTTTTTAAATTTAATATAATTTTTTAAAATTTTTGGCTGCGTTGTTTCTTCGTTGCTGCGCTCAGGCTTTATCTAGTTGCAGCGAGCGGGGTCTACTCTTCATTGCGGTGCGCGGGCTTCTCATTGCGGCGGCTTCTCTTGTTGCGGAGCACGGGCTCTAGGCGCGCAGCCTTCAGCAGTTGCAGCACCCGGGCTCAGTAATTGTGGCTCGTGAGCTTAGTTGCTCTGTGGCATGTAGGATCTTCCCAGACCAGGGCTTGAACCTATGTCCCCCTGCACTGGCAGGCGGATTCTTAACCACTGTTAACCACTTCCCTGTGCCACCAGGGAAGTCCGAGTTCTGAAATTTCTGTGCCACCAGGGAAGTCCGAGTTCTGAAATTTCTGTGCCACCAGGGAAGTCCGAGTTCTGAAATTTCTAAGAGGTCAAAAATTTTTGTTGTTTCTTTTCCTTTTGCTCCTAATTTCTAGTAACAAACGTGATCTAAGAATATGATCTGTACTATTTGCACTTTTGAAAATTCATTCAGGTTTCCTTTAAGACCCACATATGTTTAAATTTTCTATATATTTCACAGTATTTAAGGGCAAAGGGGAGCTGTGTTTGCAGAGTAATATAATAGTGTGACATTTCTCTGTCCTATCAGTGGTGATTATATTATTTCGATTCCTTTGGTTTGTCAAAGTTGCCTACAATTTTCTGCTTCCATCAAAATCTCCCTTTAATGCTTAAAGTTTTTTTGTTTTGGGAATTTGATGTTGGTTTTTATTGCAAAAAGAAAACTGGCAATTATATCTTCATAATGGATTAAACTTTAGTATTATTATAAAGTGTCTAATTTTTGCCTCGAATTCGGTGGAGTCTGATATGAACATTGCTATCCTTGCCTGCATATATATTTGTTTGAATTTGTTTGGCGTTTCTTCATTTCTGAGGAACTTTCTTTTTTACGTGTCAGTTTCCATTTTTTCAGGTTATCTTCGTCAAATGTTGTTTTTTTGTGTGTGATGGTCAGCTTTAGAAAAAGAACTGAGTTGTTTCTCTTTTTCATTATGTCCTGGAAGAGTATAAATAACAAAGAAATGATTATTTTCCTTAGAGAACTGAAAGAGTTTAGACATAAAAACATCTGAGGCCCAGGGCTTTTTGAAAGATTGATTTTAACAATATTTGCTATGGCTAATAGGTCCATTTTAGTTTCCACATTTTCTTGAGTTAGTTTGGTTATATATATATAGATACATATATATACACACACACACACACACACACACACACACACATATATCTAGAAAATTGTATATTTCATCCATATTTTAATACCAGTAGTATAAATTTAGGATAACATTACCATATTTTTAACTCTACTCTATAGTTTAAAATCCCCATTCTCAATTGTAATACTGTGAATGCATGTTGCTTTTTAAAATTTTCCTTCTCAAAATGTATATATTTTTAACTGTCCAAAGAACCAGTTCTTATATTTAAACAAATCTATTTGACAACTTTTCTGATCATTATTAAATTTTGCTTTTCTCTCCATTAATATTAACTTCGGGTATCATGTTGCTTTTTATCTAGCTTTTCAAATTAAACAATTTACTTATTTTCACATTTTCTTTTTTAATAATAGAAGTAGCTAGGGCAGGGGTTCAAACAGGGACACTTTTGCCATGTAGGAGATGTTTCTGGTTTTTAACTGGGTGAGGGGGGTGCTGCTACTGGTGTCTAGTGGGTCGAGGGGCCAGGGATTCTGCTCAACACCCTATAAAGCACAGAATGCTCCCCAACAAGAGTTATGTACCCAAAATGTCAACAGTGCTGTGGGCGAGAAGTCCAGCTCTGTAACCATGATTTTTTTTCCCCCTGAGGAGGACTGTAGCTGAATCATAGAAATATTTTAAAAATATTCTACAACTGAAGATTTGATTTTCCTTTTTACCCTAAAATTATTTGGAAAAGCGTCTTTATTAATGTAGCCTTTTGTGACTGTGGCCAGGGAACATAACACCTAGGATTTTATCTTTGTGGTACTGAAGTTTTCAGTATGGCTTAAGATATGATCAATTTTTGTAAAACTTTCATGTGCCTCTGAGATAATGTTTACT